TAACTTCAATAAAATTTTAACTGAATTGATTAGTCACAAAGAAAATTCATATTTTAAATGATTTACTGTTTATGAATCTTTTTCTTTACTCTATGTTGCTATACAAAAATTGCGACTTACTCTAGATTTGCCATATGATCTCGTTTGTAGTTCAAGCCCTTCTTCACCTCCATCCTCAAATTGGATTGGTGAAACGCCAACTCTCTCGCGTTGCTGCAATTTTAATCTTTACGGATGGGAAGAAAAAAATTACAAAGGTTCGGAAATTCTTGAATAACCTTTTCGTCGGAGGAGCCAACGGCGAACTGAGAAACTCCGAGTGCGATTGCTTTGGGTTGCCTTACGAGAACACCGTGGATAACGGGAGTATTAGATACGCTAGAATTTTAAAAATTCTATACGAAACCCAAATCCGATTTATCCATATTGGAAGTCCAAACCCTTATCCCAAATTTTCATAAACGCATGCAACAAGGGTTAAAAAGAGAAAAAAAGAATGCACACAGACACCCTCTAAACCGCCACCAATACCAAATTTTATATAATTAGAGAAAGAGAATTCAGACAGTGATATGAATTGCCAGCTTTATACCTTTTTGCTGGCCTTCTAATCTTCCTAATACTTCGCGAACTTCCTCGTCTCGGCACATTTCCATGACGAGGATCATGAACTCTAAAGGGAATATTTGTTCTTAGAAAATATAGTCAAAACTCATATCATCTCGATCAATATCACTCCTTTGCGAAATAGTACTTGAATGCCGTTGATTCACTGCCAGTTGCTTTGTCTAATGTTTCATAGTGAAAAAAAGTGCAGACAATTTTTTAAAGATGAATTTACAATTACTTTTGAGTTTTTACTTTAAATCATAATTATAATAATCACAACATTAATATAAAAATGAGCATATTTGTTTGGAAGAAATTTCTGAAGCATTTCTAATTTTCTGGATGTCAACCAGATTCCTGGAATTTCATAGGGAGATAAGATTATCAAAGACTCACCGTGGGTTGAAAGTTCTCAGTCGGTTTGGTCGTCTTCGTGGTCGTTGGCAGGTGACGCAGAAGATTCGTACAGGCTCACTGGCAACAACGTTATTCCTGAAATCAGAACTTATGTCTGCTTTCAGGGTTCTTCTTAGGGAAGTATGCTCAAGTTAAATATAAAGTTGTACCTATAATGAAGACTAGGCCAAGCGGGGCATTGTCCATTTCTGATGGCAAATGCTGTCGATGGATTAAATTCGCAATGTCCATTGCTTGGATTGTAGTGAGCGATCTGAAGAGAATGGAAATTGCCGAAAAAACGAGAATATAAGGTACTGTATTTTCGACTACTTGGGATCGAATTATTTAGAACCCTAGTACAGTATCCTATGATATCACTTCATTTTCGGGAGTTTCAAGGCACAGTATCTTAGTCTCAAGTACAGAATGAAATTTGAGACTACTACACCGAGTTATAGATGCTGTACGCTACAGTAGGATTCACACATTTTTGATCAACTGCTGACATTAGCGTTTATCCTTCTTTTCGGTACTTCACTACAAAGTATAAATGAGATTGAAACGATATTTACAAGTGGCTCTTTTAGTCTGTTGCTATATTCACTATCTATAAAAATTAACCAAATTATTTCTCCTTTAAAAAGCGCCATTTAAGTTTGAAGATTTTGATGGTAGGTGAAGTTTCAATGTGGCCTATCCAACAATTAGTTAACTTGTGACAAATATTGTAGTGCCGCTATCAAGTCTAATTCGGAAGATTTTCCAGCTGTTTCAAATTAGTACTGGCTTACCGCACAATTAAATTCGTGACAGGTTCGAGCACATTGATCCACGGTGACAGCAATAGCAAAATGGGTAAATGATAGTCTTGTAGGGCCATTGATAGGGGTTGAAATGTAGAAGATCGACATGGGACATACTGGAAGGAGAAACTTTCACATTTGAGAGATACTGCTATCTATGGTTATTTTTGCAGATCCTAACCTCCAGTTCGCAAATTCTGTTGAGTGGCAAAAGGTAATTGTGGTGCAGGTGTAGTTGGAGGAGCTGGTGGTGGTGGTGGTTGTGTACGGAACTGCTGGGGTTGGAAAGGAGGCTGAGTTTGGAATTGAGGTTGTACATTGAAGGGTGGTCGGGTTTGGAAGTTCTGTTGTGGCGCGAATGGAGTTTGGAATTGTTGACGAGGTTGGAATGGAGAAGGAGTAGGTGGTTGGAACGGTGGACGCCTGAAATGGAATTATTATTCACTTTCTCCTTCAATTTATATTGGGTAGGTATGGGTATTGCCTTGTTCTGGGCCTAAATGGTTGCTGTGGAAGTTGAGGAGGTTGAGGAGGTAGAGCAGGTCGCGATGGGAAGGAAGGTTGAGCAGTCTGGATGGGAGCTGGGCTGCAAATAGGGGTCTCTTTTATCTAAGCATTGTTATAAGAATTCAAACATTTGACAATTCTCTAAATTTACTCACGTAAATGACTGCACAGCAGGTCTCGTTGGAGCAGGAGTAGGTACAAAAAGTCGTGAAGGCGTTTGAGGGACTTCTTGCCGTCCAAAGGATGGTTGCTGTACCACAGGGCTGAAATTTCGGAATACTACATTATTTCTTATGAAATTTCCTTCTACCAATACGTACGTGATTGTTTGACGGAATGCCGGTGTAGTTTGCACGAACGGAATCGTTCGGATGGTGGTAGGTGGTTGGGTAACTGGGCTAAATCGAAAGGTTTCAAGATCAGATGAATGGAAGGCTAAGAATTTCTTCAGCTGTCATTTTTTTACTCACACACGTGTCGTGGTTGTAGTTTTTTCTTTGCTACTTGGTCGATATGGTTTAGGCACGAACAGATTTTTCTCTAAAAAAGAGGATTGTAAGAGGACTAAAGGAAGAAGACTGATGAATTGAAAAGAAAATATGACGCCTAAAATGTAAAAATATTAAGAAATTAAGTTTTGTTGATTCAATGGAAAATAGAGATTAATAATGTTGGTTATCTATGTTTCTTACCGGCTTCAGTTTCTATGATTGTGTTGTCGTCGTAGGCTCCCCATGGATCTGCTGGAT